GGAAGTAGTGCGTTAGTCATGAAGACAGGGGTTAGTGAAAGGCAAGTAGAAGGTTGGTGAAACAGTGGGTCTGAAGGATTTTATTGCCATATTTGTCAGCATGTGTATCCCTCCATGCAGCATGCAGCAGTGCTTTCTCACCGCTGCTCTACTTTTAGCAGTCTTACGGATCCAGTTCCAGTTGTATAAATAACAGCAAAAGTAACTAGAAACCAGAATTGTACTGATGAATACCTGGTAGGTAAAACCTCCTTCTTGACCAATTGTTGCTTTGCATATTTCATGACCATGCACACCTCTGTACAAGGAGAATAAGAGTGTCTAAAGTTTTGTAGTAGTCTCTTAGGTCTTTTCCAGACCGTAGTCTGTAGTGGTAATTCAATTCAATTCAATTTTATTTATGTAGCGCCAAATCACAACAACAGTCGCCTCAAGGTGCTTTATATTGTACAGTAGATCGCACAATAATAGGGATAGGGTAGGTAGTAGTTTCTGCTACATAGGTAGTCTCTATGTTGCAGAAACACGTGTTTATTCATTGGAAAGAGGTCATTTCTACATTGCTTAGCACTATATTTTACCTGTCTTTTAGCCCTTACAGACAGGGGTTGTGTTGTGCTGATGGGCCAATGTCACTTACACCAAGAAAAAGGGTGAAATGTTCTGTTTGTGCACTGAAATGATGTAGCACCTCTGTTAAACCATCATCTAACGTTGCTTTAAAAAGGAAACATTCCTACATTATCCTATAATAGAATATAGTGAAGAAAACAAATTAAGAAAAACATGGAAACACCGCTAAAATTCAACGTGTAGGCTAAAAATAATCCAGATAAATCTATAACCTATTTTAAAACCTTAAAACACTGAAGATGGTAGAACACCATAAACTTAATCAATGACAATAATACTTTTGTATCTTGATATGTTTTAAAACACATTCATGTTTCACAGCAGCTGAGGCTGAAGAAGACGCCCGTGCAGAATATTAAAAAAGCAGGAGCCAGCTGGACTGCAGAGTCTATTAATGTTTGCAGACAAGAGCATAAATGTGCCAAACGCTGAAATGTTAAATACAATAAATATGTCTTGGCACTGAAGAATGAATAAAGCACAGTGGATGTGTTCTCTCGTCAGCGACACTGGTCCACTATCTGACCGAGGTCTGAACATCTGTGCACATCTGTCTGTGGATGAAAGTCAGGGAAAACTTGACTGTATATCTTTCAGGCAGTTTTAATGGCGTTACTCTGTCTTAAAACACAAAATGCAGGAATAGAACCTGACATTGAGATCGTGAGGTGACTGGCACTAATGCCCTACAGCAAGAGGGCTTTGTGTTTAAACTAACTGGTTAGCTAGAGCATATTTGTGGAGTTTATAGGCTCTTCTACAGTCCAATGAGACACATGTTAAGTTGGAGCAGCTGTACCTCAGGAGGTAGAGCAGGTCATTCTCTAATCAGAGGGTTGGTGGTTTGATCCCTGCTGCTCCCAGTCAGAATGCCAAATATCCTTACTAACCCCAAGTTCCTTCCTGATATGTCAAAGTGTCAATGTTAGACGGAAAGCACTTACTTTACTTAGCAAAGGCATAAAAAATGCTTGGGTAAAAGAGGCGAGTTGTATAAAATGCTTTCAGTGCTTGCGTAGAGTAGAAAGGTGCTGTATAATTTACCATTTAAGCCCCAAAACACTGAGGTGTGAATTTGAAAATGTGTGATTTTCTGAGAGCCCTGCTACAGAGAAACAACTTTAACAAGTGCACCCCAGCTCTGTTCCTATGACAGCTGCAAACTCCAGGCCTTGGACCCTCAGCTGCATGGACACATTTCTTCTTCTTCTTTTTGTCCTTAGCGGGCAACCAGCGGCGGTGGTCTGCTGCACAACCAGTACGCTGCTGTAGGTGCCGCAGGTTCTCTTGCTTGACCAACGATTATCTTTCACGCTTTTCAATCTAAGGCGATGGTTCTTGCCTGCTCGAGGTCAAGTCGAAGGGCCTTCAAATCATCCTGGATTTGTTTCATCCATGTCTTCTTTGGTGCATTTCGATGCACCCTCCAATCGGTGGGGCGGGTCAACCAGAGTTCATGGACACATTTGGGAGCAGGTTGTCATTTCTGCATCACAGAAACAGCCACTCCGCCTGTCATGATTCCTGTCCTGTGTAAATAGTTCTCCTGTGCTGTAGTGGGAGTTGCAGTTCCTACGGTGCATCGCGTCAGTGCAACTTATCCTCCGCTTGGCAAATTCTTGTTGTGAATTCAACATCCAGTCTCAGTGCTGTGCAATAGCACGACCTCATACAGACCTCGTTAAGCTGGTATTCTACCCTGGCAGTGCTATCTCAGTCCACAGGTCCCTCCTTTGGCCACCCTTAATTCCCAAGGCAACAAACCTTTTTCCCAATCTGCACACAAGAATTCAAGAAGATTGCAAGGTCCAGTTCAATTAATGTCTTTCTGCCACCTCGTGTGATTTGAAAAAACAAATATAGCAGTGATTCTGAAATTCACTAAACACTCTTTGGTAAGTTATTAGAGAGTAACCATCTATTTTTTCTGATTTTGTGGGATATCACAAAGCTGCTATTAACCGGACTAACAGCTGCTGTTAGTCCTTGTTGCTTGTGCAGTTTTACAGCAAATTGCAGATATTCTTTTCTGCACCAGTCAGGATCTTGAATTTCTTTGCCCCTTGAGTCTCGTAATGATGATTCAAATTGTAATCCTTAATCTGTTTGCCACAAACTAATTCAATTCAATTCAGTTTTATTTAAAGTCACCGCACCTCGCTGTGGCTTTTCCTCCGTGGCTGCTGGGCGACCCCACCTCTGGGGCTCTCCTCATCTCCTTCCAGGAAGGTGGCGCGGTAGCCGCTCTGGTGGTCCTCCTTGGGCTTTCACAGTCTGGGGGGCCTTTGGATGTCTGGGCCCAGGTCTCCTCCATATCTGCCCCATGCTCTGGGGGGCAGGGCTATGGCTTCCCACACCCTCTAGCACATAAGTGTCAAACTCTGGCCCGTGGGCCAAATTTGGCCTGCAGCCTAATTACATTTGGCCCGTGAAGCCATACCAAATTACTGTTAGAGCTGGCCTACTGGTATTATACAGCTAATATATATATTGTTTAGTATTAAGCTTTGCTTGTTCCATATTCAGTTTTCCAGCAAAACTTGTTGGAGTCCATAAGAAAAGAGTCATTCTTATATCTGGAGGAAGATTTGTTTTTTCAATAAATATTAATGTTAGCCCGCGACTTTGCTCCAGTTTTGAATTTTGGCCCACTGTGTATTTGAGTTTGACACCCCTGCTCTAGCAGATGTTACATGGAGAAACCTTTTGAACTCAAGCGCGCTCACACACACAGACTAAATCTTCCTTTGCTGCCTTAAAGCATATCGTGCGCTGTCCGTCTTGCGTGCTGCTCAATAACATTCAATATTTAGCATTTACTGTTACTTACACCTATGCAGGTTGTTGCGCTCATCTCTGTATTGTGTTGCTCTCTTGTTGTTTGTTTTCTTTGTACATCTTTTAACAGGTGATCCAACGGATTTTCTCAGTGTGTTCTCTTACTGTCCCCCCTTCCCCTCTGTTTCTCTTCCTTCCTTTCTGTCTAATTGTCTGTCAAGTGGACCAACATGGCATTGCCATATTGGTCCACTTGAAAAAATTAATCCGTTGGGCATCTTTCCTGGCTTTCAGACAACAATTGCGATTGCTAAAGAACCAAACGGACAGGCAAAAAAAAGAAAAGAAAAAAGTTTGCTTTAATAGGTTATTAATGTGTTATTAAATGGAAACAGGCAGTTTTGCATTTTGCAGCTCTGCTTCCTGCTTATTAAACAGAATCTACCAGGAGTAACCGTATGGTGATAGCTTAGAAATTACCACATAGTGTTCTGGTTCCCCTTGTTATCCTACTATAACCCCTTTATTACTGAGCTGTAATAATGTAGAATGGGAGGCAGAGCCTTCAGTTTTCAGGCCCGTCTTCTGTGGAACCAGCTTCCAGTTTGGATTTGGGAGACAGACACTATCTCTACTTTTAAGATTAGGCTTAAAACTTTCCTTTTTGCTAAAGCATATAGTTAGGGCTGGACCAGGTGACCCTGAATCCTCCCTTAGTTATGCTGCAATAGATGTAGGCTGCCGGGGGATTCCCATGATGCATTGAGTTTTTCCTTTCCAGTCACCTTTCACACTCACTGTGTATTAACAGACCTCTCTGCATTGAATCATACTTGTTATTAATCTCTGTCTCTCTTCCACATCTTTTATCCTGTCTTCCTTCTCTCACCCCAACCAATCACAGCAGATGGCCCCACCCCTCCCTGAGCCTGGTTCTGCCGGAGGTTTCTTCCTGTTAAAAGGGAGTTTTTCCTTCCCACTGTCGCCAAAGTGCTGCTCATAGGGGGTCATATGATTGAGGCAACTTTTGTTGTGATTTGGCGCTATATAAATAAAATTGAATTGAATTTTAATAGAAAGTGCTACCATTTTTTTCTTTCAGTGGCTAATGACTTTTCTGCAAATCACAATTTTGTATCATCAAACACACAAACTGTAGAATTAGGGTTTAAATATAAACACAAAGTAGCATCAGGACAGCAAACATATCACAAAAGCCAAGTTTTGTTGCTGTTACACAGTCTGCATGTGGGTGGTGCTGTCCAAAAGCTTTGTCAGGTCCATCCATTTAGTTACACATGTAAGAGGGATCCTGGAGATTCAGCGGGTTTGAGAACAAATCAGTTAATATGAACCTACTAAAGTCAAACTGTTACTTTTTAGTAATCAAAGATTCATGATTTAAACATACTTCAACCATGTTGGTCAAATAAGAAATGCTTTGCCTTTCTGATTCAAATATCTCAGCATGTCATCAAATTTCTGAATGCATAAAAAAAGACCAGTGTTTTACTGGCCTGGTAACAAAGATCATTTTATTACTTAAATAATATGAGGAGTAACATAGTGTATAATAAAGGAGCCAATACTTATAGTTAGATTTATTTTTATTCATATTTTCAGAAGATAAAAAGTCTACACAATGCTGAGGAAGAAAGCCATTCACTCAGGGAAGCAATTTTTGCTGACCGTTAATCTGGGAAGGGTTAAAGGCCATTTCCAGCAATTCCATCTGTCATTCTGCAGTGAGAACAATTATTCACAAGTGGATAATATTCAAAATACTGACCCAGGGTTTGATGTCACAGCAAATTCACATGAAGAAATTGTAAATAAACAAACACAAAAAATTATTTGGTCTGCTTGTTTTGTTTTGCAGCCACGTGATCTGGGTATCTCGTATCTCATGAGCTTTTCTAATACTGCAGCAGGACAATGACCACAAAACAGAAAATATAAAACAGAATGGTTAAAAAACAGAAAAGTCCAGACCAACAATGAGCTGAACCAACGCTGTAAACAAGAGTAGGCCAAAGTCCCTCCACAACAATGTGATGAGGAGACCGATAAAGTCACACAGAAAACATCTTCTTCAAGTGGTTCTCCAAGTTACTGAGTTCATGGAGTGTACTTAGCTTTTCATACGCCATTACTCCAGTTTGGCATCGTTTTTGGTAAATTATTAAAATGCGTTGTTGTTTCAGGATCTTTTGAAATAAGTGCAGAAAGTTCAGTGTTCCAGGAACAAAGTTCAACACACACAGGCTTTTCTTTTCTTTGCCTTTGCTTGTTCAACAAACCTCAAACCCAAGTTGGGAATAACAGGTATCACAATAGTGATTAACAGCTGTCTCTGTTAAGCCGAGCTCTGTGTGCACTCATATAAAAATGGGACTTTTGCACGTCATATGACTCTTCCGCATAAAGTGATCTCTTGGGTTTTCCCCCAATCGAATCACAAATCTTACCAGATGATGATGATAAATATAAAGAATATACAAAATGCTAAGTTAAACGCAACATTTTTATTGACATGATGAGAGAATAATGCTGCAGAAAGTTATTAATGTGGTGTTTTATTGCACAGAGTGCTTCAATTAATATTTTAATTCGAGTTAGTAACTTTAGCTCTGAGTGCTGCTTTTTATATCGACATTGACAGCTGCACATCGGAGCTCTGAAGATTTAATTTGAACATATTTAAATACCAACTGTAATAACTATACGCTAATAAAAGATGTGTAAATCGCCTTAATTTGTCAGCAGATCAAAATTTAATTAATTTTAATGACTGAACAGGTATTCTTGATGTGTGTACAATGTTTAATGAGCTGCAACTGCGGTAGAATAAAATCACTTCTCAAATCTAAAATCAAGCTTCTGCAAAGGACCAGGTGATTTCTTATGTCCTGATAAGCAAAACCTGTAAAACCAGCAGCTACTCCAGAAAGAAATTATACTCAAGCCCTAATTCTCAATGTCAGGTGAACTTGTCATTATGGCAAAAAAAAAAAAAAAGAATTAGCCAAAGGCTTGCCTGATATGTGACCAAAACAACAAAAACAAAATGAAGCCCGGTTTAAAAATATAATATTTTGCCATAATTTAGAAATGTGGCTGTGAATATGATAGTCTTATCATTAGAAAGGAAGAAATCTAGGACCTTACCTGTTACACATAGAAACAGACAAGTTTCTGTGTCTGTTCAAGCAGTTTTAAATTTAAAAAATATGTTGTGCTTTACTTCAGGAAATAATTAAGTGACTTTAAAGACAGCAGGCTCTTGAGAATTTAGCTATGACACACCTGCCGTCATGTTTATATGTATAAGCACCATACTATACACTATACACCATAGGACTTCCTGCAAGCTCAATGTATACACATTGAAAACTGCAGGACAGGTAACTTGTACCAGTGGTTTGCTTAATAATCATAGAAATATCATTTTGCCGGTGGTGTCCGATTATTCTCAGACAATTTCAGACTTCATCTGGTGATGAAGGCGTTGCGATACTGTTGAAAGCTAAAGAACAATTCAATTTATTTGCCTTGAGGTCAATTTATTCAAGACACTGAGGCTCATTAAGCACATCTCCATCATGAATATAACAGAACATGAACATTGGGGCATCATCTCATAAAACCGAGTCTTCACATGTCCAGCGTCCTCACGGTGTCATCAGAGAGCACTGAAATTACGACTTATGAGTCAAACTCTGGATCACAATCTATCTTTGATGTACATTTTAGACTTCCTAGTATTAGGAGTGTGGAGAACAGAAGCAGAGGCCGATTACTGTCCCGGGGTGCAGCGGTGACTCTTGTAGGTGCCCAGATGTCGGAAGCTGCGCCCACACTGCTGACAGCGGTAGGGTGTGGCCCCGCTGTGAATCCTCTGGTGGGTGTACAAGTTTCCCAGTTCTTTAAAGCGCCGTCCGCACTGAGGACATGCGTATGGACTCTCACCGGTGTGCACCCGTTGGTGTCTCTTGAGTCCTGACAGCACAGAGAAACCTTTCCCACACTGAGGGCAAGGAAACGGGCTCTGGGCACCGCTGTGAATTAGCCTGTGGCTTTTTAAGCGGGCTGCATGGCGAAATCTCTCCCCGCACTCTGGACACACAAAGGGTTTTTCTCCAGTATGGATGCGCTGGTGCTGCCGCAAGTTGCCGAGGTAGTTGAAGCGGCGGCCACAGTCCCCACATTCATACCCCCCCTCAATTTTTATCTCCTTTTTTATAGGACCCCCTCCTTGACTGATGCTTGCAACAGACCCAAATTGTGTGCTTCCCTCATTTTGGCTCCCACCAGCCCTCCTGGAATCACCGCTGCTATCTCCCATGGAGGGTGTAGTGGAGGACGTGGACTGGAGCGCCTGGAGAGCCAGGGCTCCAGCAGAGTCTGAGTGTATTAGTTTTACGTGCTCCTCCAGGAAGAAAGAGTCAGGGCAGAAGGTTCCACACATTGAGCAGATGTAGGTGTGACTGGATAACTGCTGGTCTGAAACAAAGACAGTTAAATTGACAATAATGAATAACACAGCAGCAGGGAATAAATTGCATTACAGTCTGAAAGTGCTGTAACTAAGTTTAAGGATATAATTCCTCCACTGTTATCGTCTTCGATGACATGTTCCAACATAGAGGAGAGCAGCTACCTGAGCTCCCCCCAGATCTAGTTGTTAATAGTGTTACATCCGCACTGGATATGACTTTGGATACTGTAACTACTCTAAAAAGAAAGTCTCAAATCAGAAGTGCTCTAATGGGGTGATATGGTACTATAAGGTGGGTGGCTGTAGCTCAGGTGGTAGAGCGGGTCACCTACAAACCAGAAGGTTGTTGGTTCAATCCAGTCTGCATGCCAAATATCCTTGTGCAAGATACTAAGTAAGGGTGAATGTTAGACACAAACTATGCTGTTAAAAACAATGTAGAAAAAAGTGCTTGTGTGAATGAACCAGTCCACTCTTTCTAGTCCCTGTCAGGACTCTTGCTGCAGCATTTTGGATTAACTGAAGGTTTTTCAGGGAGTTTTAGGACATCCTGATAATAATGAATTACAGTCGTCCAGCCTAATAAATGCATGAACTAGTTTTTCACTCTGAGACAGGATATTTCTAATTTTACAGATTTTGCACAAATGGAAGAAAGCAGTCCTACATATATGCACTGAAGGACATATAGTCAAAAATGACTCCAAGATGTCTATTGCCATGTGATGATCCTGAGCTCTGTCTATCCATGAAGCCAGATAACACGCACCAGTTACTTAAACTGCAGGAAAGTCTTAAAAACAAAGACCTAGATGTCCTCTAACTCCCTGCTCCTAAATTCAGATAAACTGAGGTCGTTGCACTAAAAATGTTAGAAATATGATATATAACCAGATCTTTAACCTGGGTGTCATTGCCTTGGCCTGCATTAATAGTGTGAGGAATTTGGGAGTCGTTTTTTAACAGGATATTCTCAATGCACTACTGTAATTAATTATTATCACATTCCCCCAAAAACGCCCTAAAAAGCCTTCAGTTGATCTGAAATACTGCAGTGACAGCACTGACAGGGACTAGAACGAGAGAGCAGATTTCTGCTATATTGGCTTCCCGTTAAATCCAGAATTACATTGAAAATCCTGATCCTCACATACAAGGTTTATAATAATTTGCCCTATTCTATATTATTCTTCTCTTGGCTCTTGACGGAGGCGGTCACACTTTCTCCCTCTCCCTCTCCCTTGTCTTTCCTCCTTGGCTTCTCATGTCTATTCAGACAGGAAAGGACTGCAGAGGGTCATCAACACAGCCCAGAAGATCACTGGCTGCTCTCTGCCCAGTCTGGAGGCCATTGCAAACTCTCGATACCTCAGCAGAGCTGGCAATATCATTAAGGACTACTCTCACCCCAGTAATAAACAGTTTGAACTATTACCGTCAGGCCGACGGTACAGGTCACATAAAACCAGGACAAACAGATTCAGGGATAGCTTCTTTCCCAGAGCTATCACCGTAGTAAATAAGCACAAAACAATTAAACCTGCTTAACTATACCATACTTGCCATTGTCACTATATTATGCTGCTATTCATACTATCATTATGTTATGCTGCTATCCTGTATATATCGTACTTATTATTGTCTGAGTACTTCGGTTGTTTTATTGTACTTTTTATATTTTACATTTATATTTATTATTGCATTTTGCACCAAGGGAGTGGCACTCCAATTTCGTTGTACTTGGTACAATGACAATAAAGGCTATTCTATTCTATTCTATTCTATTCTATTCTATTCTATTCTATAGTCTCGCTTATTCTCTAACCCTAAGAGTCTCCCAGACTTGTTCTCTGAAAACCTAAAGAAGAATTATGGATTTGATCAACTGGTCCCTTAATGAAACTGACACCTTCCTGGGCTTGGGAGAGCCTGACTGTCCGGCGGAGACGTTTGCTGACGGATACTCGATGGTCAGTTGCGTCGTGTGTCTGGCGACACTCTCGATGGAGGACAGTGAATGACATCTACCAATTCGGAACCACGATAACAGAGTTCTGGAGCTGGCTCGGACCTGGCTTACTAAAGATCAAGAAGCAGCTACAGCTGTTCAAAATCCCACAAGGCTGGCTGACATGATAGATGATGGACAGGGCTGTGAGTACTCAGACTGTGTTTTTGAATGCAATATGGATAAGATCTTGAAGAAGAACAACACGAATTGAGAGACCTGGTGACCAGTGACGGACATTAGACCAACTGTAAAATTGGAAGCAGTTTGTTCGCACTAACCAAAACAGCTACCATCTTCATCTCATGGCGCCAGCTGGATGCTCAAGGCAAAAGCTGACAGGAATAACAATTCTTCCTTAGATAACAAGACTGTGTTGTGACTTTCTCCCTCCTCATTCAAGGCCACCCGCGTCGAACGAAGATTGTTGACTTTTGCCTAACCGGGTGAAGGGACACTTTCTCTCGGCTGAACACACACACACACACTCATACGCACACATATGCATGTACACTGACACAGACCTACAATCACCCCCCCCTCCAAATGCCTTCGAAGCTTATGTCTTCTATGTAGTGAGATGTGCTGATTCATGTGCTGAGGTGTTTTTTTCTGTTCTCAAACTGATCTCCCTGTTTGAGCTCAGTCTGGGGGGAGTTATTTTTTCTCCTTGTCTTTCCTCATGTTGTGCATTTTCCATTGTTCTCCAAAAGTTGATTCTGTTCATCTGGATGTTTTCAGTGGGAGAAACGTGACTTCTTCAGTCTCAGCTGACTGCAGGTTTCAATCTTATAAACATACATTTGCATAATGACTGAAACCAGCCCACTGAAGGAACAATGGGCTGGGAGGTCAGTTCCTTAATCTTAATTATGCAAATTCTCATGACCATTGATCAATGAACTGAACTTCAGGTAAGAAGTTATGACCTGCAGTCTATCTGGGTCAGATATAAACCAAGTTTAGGTGGAGTTTATTTTCGTTGTGCTGAGTTTTTACCGTCAGTTACAATAACTCGTACTGCTACTAGCTAGCATGACGGAGTTTCTATACAGCTGGGTGGGTGCTATGATGTTACTGATAGTGAACTTTATTTTATTCATAAGGTTAGTTAGTAGAGTTGCCAACCGTGCCGTAAAAAGACGGAATCGTCCCGCATTCAGAGAAAATATTACGCGTTTCGTATTGAGCTGAAAAGGAACAGTTTGTCCCGGACTTCAGCTAGAATGAAAAAAAGACACAAACCTGGAGTTATTCTGTGTCTTTACACTGTCAGCTGCCTTTTCTTCTCTCATTCAATCATAAAACTGATCATTGATCAGCTGATCAGTATTTCTGATGCAAGTCCCGTCTCTCCTTTGTTTATCTCCGACTTTGCGCCAGAAAGAGGAAACCAGCGGATGTCGGGCTAAACAACAGCAGCACGTTTAAGCTTGATCAGCTGTTGTTAGAATTTATTTAATATTAATTTCTAGTATCAGCTGATGTTTGCTGGAGCCACAGCTGTAAAGCTGCTGGTCATGATGTCGGTTTGTTTATGTGGTGAGAGGGAAACATGAAGATGAAACCAGGAGATGTCCTTACTGAATCATCAGAGCTGAACAGGTGATGGAGAAACAGGTTTACCTTTTAGGTGACATGAATGAGTTGAAGGGAAGTTATGAACTGTTTCTGAGAGACAAATAACACCAGGATCATTTTCTGTGTAGCTCACAGCTGGTAACTGTGCAGGGGTGGGTCTAGCAAAGTTTTGCCAGGGGGCATTCCATTAACAGGGAAAGGGGGGCACAAATAAATACTTTCTTATTCTCATTTAAAATGTCTCGCTTTTAATAAATAATTATCTGAAGCTTAAACCAAAGTTTTTACCTGATGTAAAATGTATAGAAATCATACATATACCAACAAGACTGTACATCACTGTCACAACAGCGTTTGTTTACCTTCAAAGGCTTTATGGCTTTTCCTGTAATACCTGGTGGGCCGGTCTCTAGACAAAATTCCCGGGCTGATTTTTTTGTCCCAGTCCAGCCCTGGGCACGACACGCAGTGAATTAAAAAAATAAATGGCTGGGCCAGCGGTGCACATCACAAATTAGCTCGCATAGACACATTAGTTGCGCTGCTTCTTAATGACAGTATCTTAGCTAACAACCCCAACTACCAGATTCAACTTATAATTGGCTAAAAATAACTTAGCCTACTGGTGAGAGGGACGTTGCTAGCTGGCAGTTTTTTCAAGCGATGTTGAAATTTCCACATTCTGACACTTCAAATGCTTCAGTAGCTCTCCGCTCAGTGCAGCAACTGTTAATATAGAGTGTTATTAAATTTATTGCTAATGCAATTATAAGGCACATTGACTTCTGAGGAAATTTTAGATGGCACTCGTCATCAAAAAGGTTGCCTACCCCTGCTCTAGGACAACAGGACACACATGCTGTTTAATTTCTGTGGCTTGATGGACCTCCAACCAAAGGCTGCAAAATTGAGTTGTGCATCATGTGAATGAGTGTTCAAAGGAGCTTGCAAAGAAAAGCGTCTGGACTTCTTTAAGTTGCTTGAAGATGTTTCACCTCTCACCTCTCATCCGTCTTCAAGCAACTTAAAGAAGTTCAGACACTTTTCTTTGCAAGCTCCTTTGACTACGATGACCTGGATGACTGAGAACCTTCACAGACATGTGAATGAGTGGTATTTGGTGTGTTAGCCGGCCTATTCCTGTTAGCTGCAACCATAAGAAAACATCTCAGGCAGTAGGGCTGCTCAATCAATCGAATTTTAATCACGATTACGATCTGGGCTTTCAACGATCATTAAAAA